ATATATCTTATTAACCAAGCGCGAGGGCCGTACTGGGAGAATATCGGCCCGAGGTCTTGACAGTACGGACCGAGCGCAGCGAGGTCCGTACAAAAAAGACCGAGGGCCGATATTCTTCCAGTACGGTCCCGAGCAAGCTTGGTTAATAAGAGATTTATTATACGACTGAAGTTCAAAGGGACACAAGTGCGGTATCATTCGGGACCATTCGGGACAGTGCCCGGTCCAATACTTAGAGAATATTGGACCGGCAATAGAGCATTTTGATTGGTTGATTTTAGTTATTGGCCCTCTGACTGCCCGAGTCGTGTAATAAATATCCTTATTGGAGGAAGGAGAACAGAATTTTCAATCGTGAGGTTCGTCTCGGTCCATAAAAACGGGAAAAATAACGAAGCTAATATCCAGCCATCATCACCGAACAAGCTTGGTCAGTAAAGGATGTATTTTTAACGAAAAGATCATTGCTTTATTCAAATCGAGACCTGTTTATTTCGAGAGACGGAAAAGAAAAACAGCTGTTTTAGTGGTACAATAAACCCACTGGATTCGTTTATGTTTTCTTCGCTTTGACTGTCTTCTGCCGCTTTTGCGACTCTATTGCCGACATTGTCCAAAAATTACGAACTTTTTATGTCTGCTCTAAGTATTTTTTTTTTCATGCGCAGGATCAAAGTGGGCAATACCGCGTGGACAAGATGGGTCCATCTTGCCCGCTCGGGTATCCAATCAGAACACAGGATTCGCTTCATATTACCCACAGCCACGGCCAGCGTTATAATAAGGCTTGTTTTCACAAAGTCACGCGTAGCAAACTTGATCTCTATACCCCGATCGAAGGAGCACTTGGCCGTTAAGTAGTAAAAAACACCCGGGAGTTCACGCTTATGATAGACTCATAACATTCTCTTTATAGGGCCATTTTTTTTTTTCCAAGTGTACTTTCAGCTATCTCATATCATATCTTGGTCGCTAGAAATTTCATTTCGGTGGCAATTTGTTTGGAAAAAAACGAAAAAGGAACTACTGACCACTGATAGTATTGTAAGCAAAATCATTTCAAAATCTCTTATAACTTGTCAGGGCGATTGAAGCTGTGCACGAATCGGTGCGCGATGCGCGGCTAATTTATACCCATCTCGGAATTATTGGGATTTGTTATTATACTATCCAACGTTTTTATTTATGCCGTTCACTATCCTCAATAGAGCGACTCTAAAACTTATTTATTGTCTTTTCAACAGCGTGTAGATCTGCAAAGGGGGTGAATTTTGTTACAAAAAATTCCTGTGGTGTCTTCGACAATCTGTGGATATTATGGACCAAGTTAAAAGGTAGCTTAGCCCTTTAAAACACCTTATCATCAGTATGCATATTCTCCATAAAGTTCTTGATACATTTCCTATGGTACGTTCAAGGATAATTCATTTAGTGATCATTTCGATTATTATCGTAACTTTGATGTAGGAATCGGGAATGATAACTAGAGAAGAAAGTAGATGCTTTTCACTCCATTGCGTTTATGGGTTGATTGACAATCTGTGGCTCTGATTTGATTAGAAGGCGTTGTTGTTACCATCAAATCTGGCACTTG